TAAAAAATAAAAAAAAATTCCGTACGGGACTCGCCGATTCACTGTTCGGACTCGCCGATTCTGTACAGTGAATCGGCGAGTCACTGTACAAAATCGTCCGGTTCTCTCTAGAACCGGACGATTCCCGTTTTTTTCGCCGATTCGATCTGTCCATGGCGATTCCTGAGTCGAACCGGGCGAGTCCGGTTTGACTCGGCGTTTTTTTAAACACTGCTCACCACAATATGTGCCTTTCACAAATCACAAAAGACACTATCGGTTGATAATAGTAATTAGTAAATCAACATGCATTATTTCCCTAGAAAAAACTTAGAACAGCATAAAGAGTATAATTCATCATCACTTTCGAAATCTTTTTCTAATTAATTGGGCATACTACGCGAATCCTGATTTGCTATTCTGCTTTATTGCAGGTTCAAGATTTATTATAAGTTTAGGTAAAATTTTATATTGGCAGCCTGCTTAACAAAACCCATCCCTTTAACCCGAGCATGATACGGGTTAAGAGAAAGTTTAAGGTTCTCACTATTCTTAGACCAACCCAAAGAATTGAGTTGTTGTCCGGAAATTCCCAACGTGCAATGCATATCGGAATCCCAAATGCCACATGTTTTATTTTATTTTTGTTTTTAAACTGCAAAAATATAAGCTTTTTCGCTAGTGGAATGAGTAACTAAGTTTATCAATGAGGTAACTTCCTCTCTTTTGCGCAGATGATGTCTTGTGTTCAAATCATGAAAAGCAACTAGCACGATCGAGCTCTGGTCGATTCAAATGTCATAAATTGATTTTTTTTTGTTTTATTATTTTCGAAATATTATTCACATGAAAAGTAGGTGAAAAAGTTTATATAGAGCCGAGGCTCTAAACAATTAAATTAGAGCCCACCTCTAAAATGTAACTAGAATGGATTGTTTTTTTATTCCCAAATATGCTCAAATTGATCATCTCGACATCAAGATGCATGGACATGAGGGAAAAAATAGATTTCAAGTTTTACAAATAGTGCATCTTGTAACATATTTTTTGACCGTCAATTTTCAAGATTTTCAATTTTTCATGGATCTGCTCGATCTACCCTATTTTTTAAGCTTTAAATTTTATAATTAAGGACGAAAATATATTTTAAGGTTATCACAAAGATTTTCAGTATTGAAACCACATTTCTCGACACTATTTGAAGGTGTGTTTTACTATTTGAAGGTGTGTTTTACTTTGATTAGTCAATTTTTTTTAAATTATTTTTTATTTCTGTTAGTGTGCCACTTGTTGGATGCATAGACTTTTCTAGTTTTTGGGTAAAAAATTCTAAAAATCAAAATAAAAAATGATTTGTTAAGAGATTAAAGAAGATTTCGTGCATAGAATTAGAGCTGGAGATGTGCTTCTAGAGTCTTACGTGATCGCCGTATGCCAATGAAGCTAAAAGGAAAGTTTTATAGGACGATTGTAAGACTAGTCATGCTTTATGGAACAAAATATTGGGTTGCAACAATATATCTATAGAATGAGTGTATTGAGATGGATGAATGATTAGATAAGAAATGATAGAATTCAGAATGAATACACACACAGAAATGTATCGAGGTGGCTTCAATTGGTGATAAGATGACGGTAAACGTATGTAATACAATGTCAATTAGTAAGGGCAATCTGATTTAAGTGAAAGTTTTTAAAAAGACAATGAAAATGTCCAAAAAGATATGGAGAGAAGTAGTAAGAAGAGATATGACAGACTTAGAATTTGACGGAGAACATGGACCTTATGACTCTTGAATAGGCCTCGATATTCAATTGTGACCATCATAAAGAACCCGTGCTGCCTCCATATGATCTCATTGTACACCACCCCTTTTATGGAAAAGTGCAATTTTCAGGACTCTTCGCAGAAAACGAAAAAAAAAATCTCAAATGAGGACAGAAAGACTTAGGTTATTTCTTAAAATGGCGGTTTTTTTTGTGATAAAGGAAGATGTTCCACACACAACATCCTCCTTATTAAAGAGAAATAGGATCTCTTTGATGAGTGCAAGGACCGTGAAGAGAGAGAGAAAATGGAAGCAAGGCAAACTATCTTTTTTATTTATTTATTTTCTTGAATATTAACAAAGCAAAGGCAAACTATCATGTCGCGACGTTGTGAGTGAAAACCTAAACAAAATTTATTGATTGCAGCTAAACTCTAGTGTTGATCCGAAAAGAAATGCATAAAATTAGATACAAGTAGATCATTCAATTTTGAAAATATTTCACGTGTAACACCACTCGCCACGGTTTTATTTTTAATTTTTATGTAAAGCTTCTTGGCTTAAAATTTGTGGCTTGCCCATTTTTTACATAAACCCGACTAGAAAATAGAAATAATCATATTCGATAAAATAAAATAGGCGAATATCCATGAAAGTTATATAGGTATTTTGGTCATTTACTTTTTATTAAAAATATTGTATCTCATTTTTATTAGTGGTAGGGTGCTGCAAATTTTATGTTGAGATAATTCATAAATTACAAAATAAAAAATCAAATACTTTGAACCATCCAAGATCAAATGGTCCTAAACTAACAAGATGGGCAACTTATGTGCATAAGGCATGTGCTGGGTATAAAGGCGCTGCACTCAGACCATTGTGTCGCTTGAGGTGCACATGGATCACAGGTGTACTGGTGCTGGAGGGGCGGTTGCTTACTAGATTCGGAAGCTCAACGACTGGGAACAGAGGTATTCTAACACACTAAACATCCATTTAGATCATACAGCTAGTACTAGCAACCACATATCTCATTTCTACTTTTGATATAAGAAGGTCACAATTGATTCTAGTCACTAGATGTTGAATCTGGTGGTTAGAAAATACGCTAATGATTATATTGAAAATGTAATACATTTTTTCAGCTGCTTGACAGATGAAAATGATTGTGACCTTGTTGGAGCTGAGGTAAATAAAAAAAAAAAAGGAAATAAAATCCAAAACAATATTTACCTCCTCAATCTTTATTTCAAGCAACTATACCATATTTCTACTAAAGTGGTATATGCTATTGCATGTGACGAAAACTGAATAGTTGAGAAATTGTTGTGTCCATTCCAAACACCAAAATAGAGCAAACCAAGCCAAACTTTTTGCAGGTATGCGGCATGCCTTTAAACAAGAGTATCACACCCTGATACTGCTTTCTCATAATTGTATCTGCTTTTCATTACCACCAAAAACGTGGCCTGCCTAACTCGTAAAAAAATGAAATATAAATTTTAATGTGAAGCAAAATTTGGCTTTATTGGTTTTTGAGAAAATATCTTTATATTTCGTATTTTTAAGTTTTTTTTCACAATAGACTTAAAGTTTTAAAAGATATATTAAGACATAAAAATTATAGATTTTGTGTCTTCTAACTTTCTGAGTTAATTTAAACTTAGTTTTTTAGGCCAAATAAATCTAAAAAGACATGTATTTTTTAATAGCCATCCCCTCAAACTTCTAGAGAGAGAAGGGCTTCATGGAGGTGAGAGGTTATTGAAAGGAGAGAGAAAAAGGTTTCATGGAGGTGAAAGGTTATCGGGAAGAGAGAGAGAGGTGTTTGGAGAAATACTAGAAGAGATAGTAGTATTTTCAGAAACACAAGAAGGCAAAGAGAGTGAGAGATGCAAAAAAAGAGAGTAGTTTAAAATATATAAGTGAAGAGAGAGAAATGATTGGATTTAAAAAATGCATGTCTTTCTCACATTTATTTAAGTTAAAAAATGCGTTACTTAAACAAATAAGTTTTAAAATGGTCGAAAGATATCTTTATCTTTTGAAACCTCAGATTTAGCAAGAAATAAAGCCTAAAAATTTAAAATATGCGTGTCCGGGCGCTAATGAGTCAGCTGCCTACAAAACAGTTTTCCCTTCTTCTTTTTTTCCTATAATTTAACCTATATAAAGACCACATGTCATGCTCTCTCTCTAGAAGAGTTTGGGCGCCATGGAAGACTTAAGCTTCTTCTTTGGCATTCTGGGTGAGATTCATTTGTTTATTTTCCACCTCATAATTCGTGACCTTCTTTGGTGTCTCATTAACTATTCTATTATCTCTCATATTTGTTTTTTCAATAATAACTGCTCCGGTGAATTTCTTTTTCTTCTTCTTCTTCTTATTTTTTTTTTCTTTGCAGGAAATGTGATTTCGATTCTGGTCTTTGCATCGCCCATGTAAATGCTCTCTCTCTCTCTCTCTCTCTCTATTTCTGATGAAATGGTGCTCTGTGATTTCGTTTGTTGTGTTTTTGAGAGAGAGAAAATGCAGATTTTTATATTGGATTTGAATTGCAGAGGAACATTTCAGAGAGTGGTGAAGAAGAAATCGACAGAGAACTTCAAAGGTTTGCCATTCGTCTGCACTCTTCTCAGCACGTCGCTGTGGAGTTACTATGGACTCCTCAAGCCAGGAGGATTGCTCGTTCTCACTGTTAACGGTGTCGGTGTCGCCATGGAAGCCATCTACGTCTCTCTCTTCCTCTTCTATGCACCCAAAAATGTCAAGGTCCTTCTCTCTCTCTCACGAACATGAGTCCGAATATCTTGGCTCTTGAACACTGCTCTGTGAATTGCACGTCACTATCATACATTCATGTTCATCAAAATCACACCCTATCTCTCTATCTCTTTCTCTCATACAAACTAACATATTGAATAATTTGAACCCCTTTTTCTCTCGTAATTTTCAGGTGAAGACAGCAATGTTGGTGCTCGTTTTAAATGTGGGATTTTTGGGACTAGTGATTATGGTAACTATGCTCCTACTCCATGCTCCTCTGCGTCTCCAAGTGGTGGGCTTTCTAAGTGCTGCCTTGACTCTAGGCATGTATGCTTCTCCAATGGCGGTCATGGTAAACTTCCATTGCAATAATATACTCTCTCTCTAAAAGGTCATGAGCCAAAATCTAATTCGTTGGTTCAGAGAATTGACGGTTGGATGGGTTGCAGAGGAGGGTGATAGTTACGAAGAGCGTGGAGTACATGCCTTTCTTCCTCTTCTTGAATGGTGGGGTTTGGTTCCTGTATTCGCTGCTCGTCGGAGACTTTTTCATTGGGGTGAGTTCTCTCTCTCTCTCTCTAACGCTTTCCTTTTTTCCCTGTACCGCTCTCTCTCAAGCGCAAAAAGCGTGGCAAACTGAACGGGTCAAATGTTATTTAGTCCTGCAGGTATCCGGGTCCAAATGATTTGGACCTGACCCGCTTTCGGGTCATGGTCAGGATTGAACCGATCGTCCCAATATGAAGTATATATATTCATTTTTTTAATTTATAGACTTAGCTATAGGTCGGATCTGAGTCCAAATACCTTGGATCCGATTTGGGTTAACATCCAAAACACTTGGACCTAACCCAGATCTGGGTTGAGCCCATGTGCGAGTGGAACCTAGTCAAGTCGAGGTCCACCTGCACCCGAGCCGACCCATTGCCACCCCTCGCTAAAGCAATGTCTAGAAACTCGTCCCAGGCGAGTGGGTTGCTAGTATTGCAAAGGGCCACCTGACATTAAAAAAATATTAAATAATTAAAATAAAGTTAATAAAGGTCAAATTACACAAATTCCAAAGTAGCTTAAAAAGCATGTAAAGTACCAAAACTAATTCATAGGTGAAAACATTTTTTAAAAAATTACAATAATATAAAAATAAAGTATATCCGAAAAAAGTCACCAATCTTCACTAATAATATCCAAATTATATATAAAAGTTTTATACATCAATCCCATGTTTTTATGTATTTTTAAGACTTTCTTTTTTTTGGTATACCCGGAGTGGTACCGAGCAACTTAGTGTAGCTGGGCTTGCCAAGTGTCCGAGTCCGAGTAACTCCGCCTAGTCTCGAAACTCTGGTACACTTGAAATTTTGGAGAAATTTCACAATAGCCCTAGGTTTGAACCTCACAAATGTACTGATCTATCAAGAGATTGGACGGTGGTAGACTCTCATGACTCCTGTGGTAATATACTAATATTACACGTACCTTAATTTTAATGGGGAATAAATTCATATAGAGCCGAGGCTCTAAACAATCAAATTAGAACCCACCTCAAAAATCTCACTAGAAGAAGTTGTTTTGATTCCTAAATATCGTCAAATTGATCATCTCAATATCAAGATGCATGGACATTAGAAAAAAAATAGATTTCGAGTTTTGGAAATAGTGCATCCTGTAACGTATTTTTTGGACTGTAAATTTTCAAGATTTTCAAATTTTCATAGATTTGCTCGATATACACTATTTTTAAAATTGTAAATTTTATAATTAAAGATGAAAATATATTTTAAAGCTATTATAAGGATTTTGAGTATTGAAATGACATTTCTTGATACTATTGGATTAAGCTTTAAAAAAAATCCAAAGAAATTATTAAAATTCATTATAAATATTGTTTTTTAGGAATCTAATAAGAAATGAGGGTACTCCATTAAGAATTTTCATTTCTTTGCATGAATATGTGAATATTGATATGTTCTTTCCCTACATGAATTATTGTTTATAACATGTACCGATGATGATGATTAAGTATATCATCATACATGGGCTACAATAAAGCATACAATTCGTAACAAAGACCTAAAAATAAAATGACAAACGACGTCGTTCTTTATCTTGGTCATGCTAGTGCCATTGATTGAATTCGCGTGACAATTCATTAACTCGTTCTAAAAACGACTTATCTAAATTAGTGTGCACCTGACTATACTCAAATCCCTGAGTGTTAGTGTTTTATTGTGGTCCTAATCCAAAATCCCCGAAGCTTGTTCATCCTTCATGCTCACATACAATGTCGTGCTCATCCCTACCCTTTTGTTGTTGGGACTCGATATAGGAATAATTTGGCTGGGATTGGGTGGCCTCAGAATCATCATCTCTCTGATTTTCCCTTAGACACCCTTCCTACTCTCTCTCATTAGGATGAGTTCATAGTTCCATTGGAGAGTTTGGCCTAAACTTGGATTTCTCGATTGAAATTGAAGGTTGATTGTTGATTCCGCGTCATCAAATGATGGTGACTTAGTGTGGGGTATAATAAGCCCGATTGAGGTAACTTCCGACACTCTTTTTTGTTTATTGCATATTTAATTATATTGTTTTACATTCCCAAGCATAAGAAGTAGTGATCATTTTCTTTGTTTAAAGGAAATTAGTTTGATGACATCAAGCTTTTAAGATCTTGGATTTTTTGGTTTTATTTTCTTTGAAACAAGAGTTATTATAATAAGACTACTTGTAAGTGATCTTTGCCAAAAGAAAAGGGGAAAAACACACACACACACACACACACACATACACACACACACACACACACACACACACACACACACACACACAC